ATTTGGCATTGGTTTAGAAGTAGCAAATTTTAAAATTTGAGCAGATTAGGGCAAGAATGTCACTTAATTTGTGAATAAATAATAATAAGAAAAAATGATTCAAAAGTAGAGTGTTTACTTTTGGGCTGTGTGGAGATGTTCTCATCTATCTGAAAATTAAAATAGGTGATTAAAAATATGGTCACTTTTAAAGTCTAACATACGGTCCCTAATAATGTTAGATAATCATGATAATATTAATAATAATATTAGATGAGGTAGGAGTTAATTACATGGCACAAATTAGACATTTATCACCATGTTGGTACTAAACTGTTTCTTAATTTATATTAATGCAAGCTATGAGAAAGAACAAAATTGGCTATTAGTTTCCCAGAGTTTTGCCTAACTTAATCATTAGTCTTTATTCTTTTTCTTAAATATTTTGATTCTAAGGTTGTATATACATTTCAGCATTATCCAAGAACCTTTGCTCTTCAGTGTCTGCATTTTGTTTGATTTTTGCTAGCATTGTTTCCATAAAGAAATTATCTCCATTTCTGTTCAGTCACTTACTCTCTGTATGATCTTGGGCAAATCACCTATCAAACTCTCAAAACCAGTTCCCTCATCTGTAAAATGTTGCCAGTTATAATACATTCTTCAGAGTTTTTGAAGATTGAATCAGAGAATTTAAGTAAAACTCTTGGCACAGTACCTACCTAGCAAGAAATACAATAAATACTACCAATTGCAAGCAAGAGGAAAAAAGAATAAAGCTGTACTTTTAAAATGACTATTGCAAATGGTTACAAGTTTTGAGGACTTAACTATATATTTATACTGCGTATTTCAAGCATTTTACAAGGAGGATCTCATGTAATCCCCAACAACTAGGTACTATTAGTATCCAATTTTACATGTGAAAAATAATTCTAAACAGGGAAGTTAAATAATGTCCTCAAGGCCACGGAGTCAATAAATGGTGGAATCAAGATTCAGTTCCATTCAGGCAGTTAGTGTTAGACTAACTCTGGAATCTAGACTTATCTTTATTAAGCTAGGCTTCTTTTTATACCAGTGATAGCTATGGAAGAGTGATGTCAGGATGCTACACTGAGCATTTTACCATAAAAAAGGAAACTTGGTAGGAGATCTCTGAGGTAATAATCAAGAAAGTGTTTCAAAGTCTAAGGCAAGATCAGATACTGAAGCCTAAGTAGGGATTATGGGTGACCTAGGGTAAAGGAAAACAGTAATCCAACATTAAATAAATTATAAATAAATAAACAAGTCAATCAAGTAAACCAATGTTGAATCTGTAAAGTCCTCAGACTCTTAGCTTTGTCTCACAGGAATAACTGATTGATACCTAACATACTGCACATGTATGAGGTTACCCTAGGACCAGGTATGGTCAAAAGTTCCTCAGCCTTCATAAGGTTACAGCTCTAAATCTGGCAGCTAGACAAAAATTGTCAATATTTCATGTTATCGCAAAATAGAAAGATACTTTGTAAAACATGGTCTATTAAAAGGGAATAATTTTTTACCTTATAGCACTTAATATTATTTGATATTTCATCAAATATTCCTCAAATTTAAGTGTATTTTTTTGCCTAATAGAGGATATGGACCACCCTCTCTGTCCTATTAGTGACATTCAGAAAAAAGCAGCAATAATAACTAAATAATTTTAGTATAATATATAAGAGAAATCATGGAAATACCCCACAGATAATATTGCAAAGTGGAGAAGAAAATATTTTTTAAACTTAACATTAAAAAAATCACACAGTGTTATTATAAATGGGAATTATAGGGAGAAATCATCGAATAATACTATCATCTAATCTCAACAAAACCAAGGAAATTATAAGACAGTGCTGCGATGCCATTGTGCTGAGAGAATGTTTCAGATAGAACATTCAATCTAAACCTACACTGAGATTTAATTCTGATCTCCCTCACTTTTGGGGGGTAAGATGCCCAACTATTAATTTCATTTGAAATTTTTAAGGGAAAAGTCCTTCCAATGCTCTAAAATGAGATTGTGATGATAATTGTGTTATTGTGAATATATTGAAATTCATTGAATTGTACTCTTAAATCTGGTGCATTTTATATTATAGAAATTGTATCTCAAAAGGCCTGATTTAAAATTTTTTTTTCAACATTTATTTATTTTTGGGACAGAGAGAAACAGAGCATGAACGGGGGAGGGGCAGAGAGAGAGGGAGACACAGAATCGGAAACAGGCTCCAAGCCATCAGCCCAGAGCCCCACGCGGGGCTTGAACTCACGGACCGCGAGATCGTGACCTGGCTGAAGTCGGACCCTTAACCGACTGCGCCACCCAGGCGCCCCTCAAAAGGCCTGATTTTAAAATGTGCCCTCTACTGGGAAGCTGGGGTGAGTCAGGCTACTCAGGGGGAAGCCGACTGGCCCTTACGGCAAGTTAGGAAATAATGTGAGTCCAGGAAGCATGTGATGCCAGAGAGACAGGTAAAGTCACCTTGGGATTCAACCTGGCCAGCAATGATCAAATTACCTTTGCTTCACTCTTTCCCTCTTAAAAGAAGGTAGAAATAAACATACTAGGTAAAAAAAAGTTCTTCCATGTACAGCTGTTTTTGCCAAGCCTATTCCTTCAAAAACAAAAGAACAAAAAAAAACAAAAAAAGAACACCAACGCTGAAAATAACTGTCAGTCACTAGATTATCTGGGACCCACATAATACATAATGACCATTCAGTGAAAATAATGAAATGACAAATATATTTGAGGTTGCAAAAAGAAAAAAAAAAGTAAATTAAATGCATTTCATATGGATGAAAGTAAACAAAAACATATAACTTCATATCATGAAGCATAGGTAGAAATGTTCTATGTTCTATAGTCTACTTTATTTCTGTCAGTATTTGAACTATTCCTAGCATATTTTATATTAACACACAAATCTATAAATATACCATATATATTCTATTCTAGCTGGTAGCATACCTTCACACTTCACAGAACAAGATAATGCGACCTATAGAACAGGCTGGGATAGATTTCTCTTTTGATTGTGAGATGTATGCTAATTTAAAGGGCAAAAATGCCCCAATTATCTTTCTCACTAGGCATTGCCTTTCTAAAGTAACAATGCTTCTATTTAACAGGTAATAGCTGTGGTATTGTTATTGATTTTAGCAGAATTTCACCTCTTTCTTTCACAGTGAAATGGTGAAATTAAGACTGTAATAAGGAAATTAACTAATTAAAACCCAAGCCCTATTTTATATTGAAAACATATTTTAATTTTGTTAAAATACTAATTGATAAGTATTTTTTTGAAATATTGGTTTTTGACACCTTCAATGGTCACGAATTTTTAAAAATGTTTTTCTAAGGAAAATTTCTAATATTAAAAAACAATTGAATGGTAGAGCAAGCCTACATATACCATCATCTACTGATCCAAAAAAATTCAATAATTTGCTATACTTATTTTATCTATCTTCTTATGTATATATTTACTACTAAAGAAAATTCTAGACCCCATGTCTTCCACTGCTACATACTTAATAGGCATCTAAAGAAAAGTATACATTTGGGGTTTATCAAATTTTTCTTCTGTAAATAAAAATATCTATTTTCAATATGCTATAATAATACATAATTTTTTAATAATTACTTTTGAGAGAGGGAGTCAGACAGCACAAGTGGGGGAGGAGCAGAGAAAGAGGGAGACACAGAATTTGAAGCTGGCTCTAGGTTCCGAGCTGTCAGCACAGAGCCTGACGTGAGGCTTGAACTCACAAACCACAAGATCATGACCTGAGCTAAAAATGGACACAACCGACTGAGCCACCCAGGTGCTCCAATAATGCATAAATTGTAAGACTTATTTAAAATGTATAGAAGACAGAGTATTAAAAATTCTAAGTGGTTCACTTCCCTTCAAATGTATTTTTCCTATTAGAAATTATAATCCAAAAGTATAGATAAAATTATGAATATTGTAATATTAAAGAGAAAGCAATGGCAAACTTATTGTAAGTCATGTTGGCTTCTCTGACATATTTAAATATTTCTGTTCAATAATGTAAGTCCATAATTCTTCCAAATGCTGAAATCAGAAATATAATCTGCCATTTAGATGTATAAATCCTTTACCCCAAAAGTCAGTTGGGCAAGCTTCAAATATAGTAAAATATTTAAAATTCCATAGTTTAATTTATAACATTTAATGCAATTTGTGTATATTGGCAGTAAAGTAAATATATTAGAATATCATTTCCACATGGGTTCACTTCCACTGATATTGGCTAATATCAGTCAGTGTAAAATTTGAATAAAATTAGTAACACTGATGAAATAGCTTTATAAGATTTCACATAAAAATATAAGAAATTTAAATTTATGTAAGCACTGATACAAATACTAAACTACTATGCTAATGAATCGATGCACTAAATTAGTATTTTAGCTCCAAGAGACATATTTTGACTTTTATTTAATTATACCTTATATATAATATTTCATATATGTACTTTAGGACTGCTGAGAATTAAACTTATTTTATTGGGGTGCCTGGGAGGCTCAGTTGGTTAAGCATCTGACTCTTGGTTTCGGGTCAGGTCATAGTATGACTGTTCGTGAGTTTGAGCCCTGCATCAGGTTCCGCACTATCAGGGCAGAGAGAGAGGGAGAAAAAGAGAATCCCATGCAGGCTCCTTGCTATCAGTGCAGTGGGGCTTGATCCTACAAACCATGAAATCATGACCTGAGCCAAAATCAAGAATCGGATGTTAAATCAACTGAACCACCCAGGCACCCCTAAAAATTTTTATTTGAGATACAATTTTCCATCTTTATCTTTTTTCTACAAATTCTTTTATTTATTTATTTTTTTAACTTTTTCTTTCAGTTCTAGTTACTTAATGTACTATATTAGTTTCAGGTGTATGATACAGTGATTCAACAATCCCATACTCCATCTTTACCTTTTTTACCTATGTATCTATGATTAAACCATACCTTCAAAGTGATCATCTCTTCTGGGCTGTGCCTTCTTTGGTGATTTTGTAACAGAAACTTTACTTTCATTGTTTTTGAATAATTCTAGGCAAACAGTGGGATCTAGACAAAAAGAGCAAGATAAGACAAAAGTTCAGCTCTGGCTCATTCTATCTCTGAAGTGGCTATATTTTTTTATGATAGTATTAAAAAATAATACCCACTCTATAAATCACTGTGATATTGGTAATTATGTCAAAGTTTCATAATATGAAATAGTAACTAACCATTCACATATTCTTGGTTTTCTGATTAAGTACATAGCCAATAATTAATACAGAGCACAGAAATGCTAATAATGTGAAAAAAATCACATAAACACTTTCTAGTAATGGCATCATCTTTTTATTTTGGGAATTGTTTTACTGTTTATTTTAGCTCCTTTCTTAAATTCCTGATTTCTGCTGGAATGAAGTAAAATTTCTATAAATTCATAATAGGTGAAAGCTATTATTACAGGAAAGGCCATATACCCTACTATTCTCTCCTCTACATATGAGGACCTGGGAGAAAGGAGATGTAAGCAAGACAATTGATAGGAGAGACAAAGATCATTTCATTAATTTTATGGATAAAATAACGGTTTTGCTTTTGTCCTAATGTATTATATTTACATAACAAAGAATTTATGGAAATTCTATATACATTTTATAGCCAAGAGCACTCTAAATCTATTAATTTTACAAAATAAATGGGATGATTGTAAATATAGGGCCCTATAATTTACTGGTAATGAATGATTCTATGGAATGTAAATTGGAGATTTGGTGCAGTTGTACTTTTTGCTTATTGAAGAACTGTGAGAAAAGAAAATAGTGGTGTAAGCAATGGAGTAGAATAAAGAATGGAAATTTATGCATTTCAAGTAGGTTAACATAAAACCACATTTAAGGGCAGCATACATTTCTTAATATCTTACATCATCTTGCAAAAGGATAACTTAAAATCTTTAATTAATATCTAATGCAGTAACATTGAATATGCTAAATAGAAAAATATGATTTTAAATAGTGTAAAGCTCAAACTGCATACTTCAATTAAATGCTAAGATAGCATATTTTTAGAATATTATTAGAAAAACAGAATAATAGTTGTAGAGTTATTTTTCAAGCATGTGGAAACTGAAGATTTCCATTAGTCTTTTAGCAATAATTACCCATACTAATAAGAATGATTTCCATGGTTCACAGAGATTATATTTCTCAAGATTAGGGAAAATATTAGTCAATATTTGGGCATGTCTCATAATTATATGTGACCTAAGGTATTGTAAGAGTTGGGTGTGTCTATATGAATTCAACATAAATTAGAAATAAGAATAACAGATTTTTAAAAAATGGTACCTCTGTATTTAATAAAACATATTATATATTGTTTAAGTCATTTATGAAAAACCATGCTGACATGTCAAAAGGAGCATTAGTCAGTCAGGGAAGACAGATTACCATGGGCTTATGTTCTGTATGATACCTTATAACCTACTGATCTTTCTACATGTTCTCCTGTTCTTGCTATTCCATTTCATCTATGTGCGTCCTGAGCAAAGACATTACAATTCGACAGAACTGGATTAGACCCGAGACCTAATTTTTACTAGTTGTGTGACTCTGGGCAAATTGCCCTCTCTCCTTCACTTCTCTACCCAAGAGAAATAATATTAACTTTGAAATACTACTGCAAGAACTAATGAAATAATGTATGTAAAGCATCAAGACTCATGTCTGCAAAGTGTCAGTGCTCAACAAATGCTGGCTAGTAAACATATAACCACAACATAAATAAGAATAATATTTCCAACTTGGCAATTCTATTCTCAGAAAAGATCTTAAATCCTCCATAGAATAAGATGATATTAATTGATGGTCCATAATTGGCTTCATTTTACCCATTTTATTTATATAGCACACAGAATAATAGCTGTAGATCTTTTATAAATTCTTTGGTACTCCTTTGGGCAAATAATCTCTCCATGACTTGATTTCTTAATATGTAAAACAGAGAAAAAAATAGCACTTTCCTCATATTATTATCAAGATTAAAGAATACATAGAAAAATATCTAGAAAAGTTGTCTAGCTCAATTTACTAAAAAAAAAAATTTTACTCTACAAGGGTGCATAAACAGTGCTATATTTTCTTTTTTTTTTTTTTTTTTTTTTTTAATTTTTTTTTTCAACGTTTATTTATTTTTGGGACAGAGAGAGACAGAGCATGAATGGGGGAGGGGTAGAGAGAGAGGGAGACATAGAATCGAAAACAGGCTCCAGGCTCTGAGCCATCAGCCCAGAGCCTGACGCGGGGCTCGAACTCACAGACCGCGAGATTGTGACCTGGCTGAAGCCGGACGCTTAACCGACTGCGCCACCCAGGCGCCCCGACAGTGCTATATTTTCAATATCCTTTCATTTTAAAACATTCTGATTGCAACCTTTAATTTATTTAAAACTTACATTAATTCAAATTTCAAAGGGATAATAAAGAAGCAAGAAACAGTATTCTAGATGGGGGGAAAAATCACTTGATTTTGATAGCCCCTGGAAATACCACTGTGAAATAAGACACTACTCTTACCCTCAAAAAATACCCTCAAAAAATAAGCTAGGGTACAAACTTATTATAAAGAGTTCAGCTTGTGAAACCTTTTTCTTGCATCATAAAATCAATTTTGTACATTTAAATCTACCCTCTGAGGTCATCAATGGCAAGTCTATGTTGCTGTTTTAAAAATCTTTTGTCTCCCAGTATGGCTTGCCCAATGTCTGGGAAATAGATTTTAAATACATCTTTATAAAATACTAAAAGAAACCTATAAGTAAGTTGAGTTTCTATTATGTATGTGGTTCCATACTCAACACTTCATTATCTCATTTAAGTAACATAACTTTATTTAGGCATTAGAACAACCTTAAAATTATTTCATCTCCTATATAATCTCTTTTCAGTTTCTACAGTCCTAATCTTAGCTCACTGGTTGATCTTATTCTTGTTAACTTCATACATAAAAACCTGGTTATTACCCATTTTTTGTATGTGCAAAGTACAGCTGTGCTGTAAAATATGTTTTAAGTCTGATGACTATTTCATCATTTACTTACTAATTTAAATTTGCCTTCCCAAATAGAAACATATATTTAAATGACTATAATATACATACCCAGTCATACACATACACACAAAGGTATTTAGTGACTTTTATCTCATTTACTGCTGATTCAGTTAATAGTTGTTGATTGAATATCTACCATATGCCAGGTATGATATTAGGTGGGGAACAAGGAGTGTCTTCACCTCAAGGATCTTACTATTCAAATGGATTTTATTATTGTTTTGCTAGCGCAACAAAGTTAATGTTTGATCACAAAATGTTTTTATTTTATTTATTTTGAGAGAGAGAGAGAGAGAGAGTGCACGAGCAGGAGAGGGACAGAGAAAGAGAGAGGGAATCCCAAGCATGCTCAGCACAGAGCCTGACGCCAGGCATGATACCACAAACTGTGAGATCAGGACCTGAGACAAAATCAAGAGTCCGACGCTTAATCCAGGCACCACATGACCAAAATTCTTATAAATTATTTTTAGAAATCACTGAAGTAAACAAAACAAATTATCAATAAACTTAATTTTGTCACAGTTCTATCTATTCTAGTCCCTTTTGATCCTTCACATTCATTCTTTACCTTATCATTTTGCAACCTGATCTCTTTGTGGTAGCCCATGACTGCTCAAGTCACATTAAAAAGTTAGTCTAACTTATTTTCTACTTGGCTTAATTCTTGACTACAAATACATGTTACCAACACAGTGTCAAGCTATTTTCATCGCTGAAATAAAATGAACAAGTATTTATTGAGTGCTTACTATGTACTTGACACTGTGCTAGGTGTTACAAACTGCTGCAAGATGATTCTTATCCCTAGTGTAGCCCTACCTTTAGAACTAAATTAACTTCTTTTGCTTCATCCTACTCTTTCTTTACTCAATGAAATTTGAAATGTGATATGCATAAATATGATAAATATTGAAAGACCACATTGTGTTTTTGTCCTTATATTCTTAGCCTTTAAACTTTTTAAGGGCTCTCCACCCAAATCTCTATACTCAGAACTTATCCTCTCTGAGAAGTGTTCCACATCAAAACAAAGCACTTACTCTCTTCCCTGACCCTGTTCCTCTCAATCTTGCTACCAGTCAAGCTCATTACTTTTAGGTTATTGACTCTTATGTTTTCAGTAAACCAGCAACTCACATCTTGCACATCATGCTTTCCACGGTAGTTATACACCCTAACCTTCCCTGCGTATTCGCTAAATTCCAACACAGATCACCAAATTCTAAAATTACTTCTGTGCATGAGGCAACAGTAAATACAAAAAGACAAACAAATAAAAACTCCATAAAGATAAGACAGTCATTACTGGTTCATGCTTATGTCCATCATGAGAAAAACCGCAATAACTTACTAGGAATAACAATAATCAGAACCCAAACTCAAACTAAGTAAATATAACTCTTCACAATTTTAGATTTCATCCTCTGACTTCCAATCAATTCCTCTTCCCTCTCCCCCTCCTCTTCTGGCTTTTTCTGTTTAAAGCAGATGACCTCTTTTATCCCAGTAGAAGTCATTAATACTGACTCTCCCCTGATGGTTGCCTACACTGTATGTTTCCTTGGCCCCTTGCTTCTTTATTAATCAGCAAACTCAGTGGTATTCCTCCCCTATCTGCAACTTTCTTTGAATAATTGACCCCCAGCCTTTTGCCCTATTTTCACTCTCATCTTCAAACAAAAATTGTGGACTCATATCCCTTGGCTAATAAATACACGTATAAGATATAAACGGGAAGTATTATGCTACTGAGCAACTTGTGCTAAGGTTTTTCATGGTAGAAATTTGAATTAAAGCTTCCATAACCTGTGCATTTATACCCCACTCCTTGAGGATTACAGCTTTGTTAGGTTGGAGGACATAATTGATTCCATTTCATTAAAAGTTTCTATCCTCTGATGTTTCACCTACCACCCTCCCTACCCCCACAAAGATGGATAGTCTCCCGTAGTTTTATGGACAATGTTGCCCTCTGGTGGCTTATGATTTTCAAGTTGGCATGTTATCCATGTAATATATATATATATATATATATATATATATATATATATCCATGTATATTTGAAAATTACTATTAATTTTTAAGTGTTTAATATAATTGAAGTATCTAAAGCATCATTTTAACTTCTTAGTAAAAGTTTAAAATTATGGCCATTATTTTAGGCAGATTTAAATAAGGTAGTAGGATTTTACATATTGAATTGTAAACTGGAAATGTACTAGAAAGTTCTTTTTCTGTAAGAAGAAAACCAGAGGTACAATCTTATACGATTCATTCACAGATACAAAATGACATAAGTGCTACATTATTAATCTAGTAGAAGACTAAAGTATTATAATTGGAGAAGATCCCTCTGATTTTCTTGTTCATTATTTCATCCTTAATCTTACCTTGAGTATCTCTATTCTGAGTATCTGCTGTGATGAGGCAGTAGAGAAAAAGAATGAGGAGAATTTAAATGTCATCATTAAGTTGTACATTATGGAATTCAAATTTAAAAGAAAAAAATTACTTGTATTTAATTAATCTAATAATATTTTGATTAAACAAAAGCAAAACAAAAGCTTAACAAGGGTACAAACTCAGTAGTAAGAATGCAATTTGGTTTATAATCATGCAATTAGAGTAATGATATCCATAAAAATTATACAATTGCCATTTTAGACCTTTACCTAACAGATCATGCTTAATGGACACTGGCAAAATGTTGAATTTAAAATTAGGTTGTTAATTTGTATGTTTGGTTGTCCTTTTACATTTGTTACTCTATCATGCCACCTTGTGACAGATAAAAAATGTTTGATTTTGCCTGATAATTATTACGTCTAATTTTTGTCCTTTAACACAATGGTTTTTTGTATGAGCATATATTCCTTATTAAACCTTTTGCTAAAACATATTATTTACTATGCTGATTTATTAAAAATGCTTTTATCAACAAAAATCACTTAGTTATAAGAATGAGCAAGAAAGATCTATACATTTCCAGAGATAGATTCTACTAAGATAGATTTTTTCTTAGCTTCACTATCAGAAACTATTACAAACATTGTGAATATCTTTTAAAAAATAGACCTTGAACATAAGTAATTGAACATTTGTTCAACAATTGTTGAACATTGGCTGAAATAGTACTTCTGACACTTCTAATATCTGAACTTCCCCCAGGAATTTCAGAAACATTCATTATTCTCAAAACAGCTATTTAAAGAATGTTTGTTGGTGCTACTGAAGATGAAAAAAATATATATACATCAAAGCAATAAAAAAGTTTGTCAAACTACCCTGACTTACTATACTGGATTCCATTTCCCTAGGACTGAAAGAAAGTCTCACTATCGTTAAGAGTTTGGAGTTACTAATCCTTGGGAACCACCTTATAGTATTGTGTTCACTGAGTCCTGATGAACTTAATAGGAGCTTATAAAACAAGACTGTGGGAGGCACAAAGCAAGTCAGCACAGAGCTGTCAGCACAGAGCCTGACGTGGGGCTCAAACTCAGGAACCCAGAGATCATGACCTGAGTTGAAGGCAGATGCTTAATTAACCAACTGAGTCATTCAGGCACCGCTACATTTTCTTTAAAAATGTTTAAAATTTCAATCTTTCAAACTTTACAAACTGTTAGCACACAACAAAAAGTACTACACCTATCTCAAAAAGATAAACGATATCACTAATATAACAAACACCAAAAAATGGAAAGTTGACATTTTGGAATATAAAAATAAATCATCAGAAATCTATCAATAAAATACTGTGCCAAGAAATATCAGCTATTCCTTGGAAACTAAGAGTATCTTGGTTATTATTATTATTATTATTGTTTAATGTTTACCTTTATTTTTGAGAGAGACAGAGGAGAAAGTGAGAGAGTGTGAGTGAGAGAGGGGGAGAGAGAGAGGGAGATACAGAATCTGAAGTAGGCTCCAGGTTCTGAGCTGTCAGCACAGAGTCCGATGCAGGGCTCCAACTCACAAACCATGAGACCATGACCTGAGCAGAAGTTGGCCACTTAACTGACTGAGCTACCCAGGCACCTCTTATTATTAATAAATAAATAAATAAATATATATATACACATATATATATAAATATATATAAATATATACATATATATTTTTCTTAGAATTCTACCAGGGAATTAATGATTAAAATAATAAATAGAAGGAGTCATCATTAAGTATTACCTAAATAATAAATAGGAAATAATAAATAATTTTTAAATAATAAATAGGAAAATTAATAAAGATAAAAATTAATCTTCTAAATGCTTCTTTGTATACTTAAATAAGCTAGAACTACAAGATAAATATAGATTCTTTGCTTTTCTCAGGACTGATGGTACTTTTACAAAAACATTTCACTGCCATTAAAATCTCAAAAATTCTTAAAATCTACAAAAGAAGCTAATGAATGAGAAAAACTCAAAACCAGTTTTTTTTTAAAAAAGGTCACATTACTTATATCAAGTCTATGAGTCCTTGAGTAAATATTTATAAAATTATAAGTAAATGCAAAGTTACATACAATATGCTAATAATTTTAAGTAGTTTTAATTATAAAGTCATAATAATGTGTTGTTTCTTGCTCTGACACCTATAAACTACTCCACATATTAGGCAATGATACTAAAATGATCAAAAGTATCCAAAGAATGATTTGAAGAATCAAGTGGGATAGAAAAAAAGGGTGCCACTGAACATTTCCCAAGTTCTACATAATTGTGAAGATATACACTGTACTTCTTTCCCAAAATGTCAAGTTGTGAAGCCTTCAGAGCTAATGTTCATGGAACAAACAAACTTATAGAAATAGCTTATTGAATCATCAAGCAATTTAAAAACAAAGGAATAACTACATGAAGCAGACACTCTAGAATCAACATTTGTCAAAATGAACCAACTTAGAAACAAATTACAGCATAATTCTCAGTGCACAATGGATAGAATAATCAATGAGAAAGTAGATAAGAAACAGAGCGAAAGTGAAAATAGCACTTAAGTGTATAACAAATCATTTAACGTAATAACATAATTTTCTCTAAGTTTCCTTGGTTGAGTTTTCAGAATTATTACCTTAGACGTATTCATAACTGCACATTTCATTTTGGTTCTTATTAAATGTTATTAAATACGATTTGGTAAAGAATATTTTAAGACAATTTATCTTCAATATCAGACACACATTATTATTCAAAGAGCATTCACAACCCACCTAATTTTTTCCTTAATTTCTTTGATTTCATCTTCTGTGCTCTCTTCAACATTTGCTGAGCAGTAGCAATGTCCTTAAAGCCCCTATTAATAGATTGCATAAAGGAAAAACAAATATTCAGACCATATTTATATATACATAGATATACAAACACACATATCTGAATTATATCATACTAAAACAAATTAGATTCCATTTAAGAACCTAGATGTATAGTTTCTTAAAAACTAATAATTCTTAAAGTCTTGAAAAATGTCTATCCTAAAAATTTTAAAGTCTCTCAATTTCTTAATATTTTAGTTTAAAATATACCACATACCATTCTTTCGAAATTTTTTCTTCTTTTTCAGATTTTAGCGAACTCTTTCTGCTGATCTTTGATTCAGGTGTCCAGGACAAAGTTCTGTGTTCTGGTCTGGCGATAGAAAAAACTACACTAACTGAATCAACACAAGAATATCAGCACGTTTTAAAAAACTACAAACTATTTATGTTGTTTCAAACTCGGAAATAAAATCTATTTAAGTTACAGAAAAACTTTATCTTGAAAAGTAATAAAAGTCTGCCATTAATTTAAAATGTTTACATTTCAATTACTTGAAGCATATTTCAATCCTTTTGTCGAAAGAAATGCAGCCCTGGAATTTTTATTCTAATCCTTATCTCTACCTATATCATAGTATTTTAAACTTCAGTTGTTTACAACAGTTAATGACATTATTTCACTGACACTTTTGTAGTTGTTTTAATGAAGCTACCTCACACTTTTTTTTTTTTTTTACTGAAAACTCTGTAAAAATCATTACACTTAACACTGTTTTCCCATCTTCTAACCAGATAAATTTGTACTTAATTTTCATCATTTTACCACTTTTGTAATAAGTATAGTATTCTCGTTATGGGTTGATCTTCTAAAAGAGTAATTTAGCTTACCTGCTATTAAACTGTGAGTGTTCTGATGAAAACAAATTTTCTTTCTCATTACATAGCCACGCTTGAGCTGGATGGCTTGGTAAATTCAGTGAAGTATCATCATATTTTAAGGTTCCACAGAACTTATCAGAAAAATAATGTATATTAAGTATAAAATAAATGGAAAAATTCTAGCACTTATATCATATTACTTTACATGCATATTATTCAGTAGCCTCCCAAGGGAAACACATACAAAAACTGAAAATTATAATAAAATTAAATTTATGTAATACACATGTAAATGTCCTTTATTGTAGTGGTAAGGGATATGTTTTTTTGGTACAGTTTGCATATACAGAGTGATTAATAGCAAAGATCTTAAAAAATATCAAAAAACAGAAACTTCAAAGATTATCAAATAAATAACAGATATTGCAGTCCATTGACCTCTGACTGAGAATCTTCAGCTGTTGCCCTCTTAATGCATATTTTTGTATTTTTAAAGTGCTGTCAACTAGTGATTTTAGTCTGCTGCCAAATATGCAGCTGAAGTATATCATTTTTTTTTGCTACTGTGAAATAAAGTGTTGAAAGAAATCCAAAATAAAGAAAAAAATTAGAAGCAAACGAAAGAAAAGCTACATGAAAAATTACATCTGGGGATGAGGAGGAAGTCAGAGGCTTCTAAAAGTAATTGTGTTTTTCAAGTCAATAAATTGCATTATTAATCACTGCAGCACGGCATAACCTTAAGAAACGAACAAAGATGGAGCATTAAGAGATTTCCATGACATGTTACCTTTGGCCAGAGCAGCTGGTTCGGGAGAAGCAGTGTTTGTGAAGGGAAGCGGGCGGAATCTAAAGCTAGCCATTCTTTCTCTAAGGCAGCCTGCAAATAGTAAACATTAATGTACATAGTTCAGTTTGCATAACTTTTACAAAGAATCTTTGAAATTGTCTTTTATACTACAAATATTAAGAGAGCGTAGCAGGATTTTTATTTATAGGAAAATGTGCTACTTGCTATTGTGAGATGTTATGCATCTATTTAAAGCAAACATTGTAAAAAATAGAAGAGTTTTCATCCCCAAGTGGGATAAAGTGAGAATCTGACTGCTCAAGTGTTACAGAAAATAAAGAGGTGCAGACTGTTCCGTGTATTTAACTGTTTGATAATTATGACTCTGAGCCAACTCTAGATGTGACTGGGGGACAGAATCTTTCATCTCTTTTTAATGCAAACTTTAATATTTTCAACCAAACCTCAGTATTGAAAATTTATGGTTATTTTAATATTGCTATCATTTTTTCCATGTACACTGTCTATAAGATAGATTTTCCTTAATTTTTTCAAAAATTTCACAAATTTTCTGAATAGATGGAAAATGAATTTTGTGGCAACATAAAAATCATGGATCTTAACATTATAGTCTAATTCAAGTGTGTGAATGATAAAAAATATATAAATTTAAATTTTAAAATGATTCTATTTAAGTCTCTTCACTTTTTATCTTATCTTTATTCCATTTATGTAATTATCAAATTTATTTTATATTTTCACAATGGTATACTAATTATGCTAGTGTTATATAATTAGGATATAATTATCCAAATTTTTTTTGCTTGCAGTATCTAATATGGTTTAGAATAAACTTCTGTCATTCTATAATGTTTCGGGAATTTTTACAAAAAAAGATCAGATGCTCATGAACTTGTTTTTTAAAAGGTTGTAAAATATTCAAACATTTTGGATTTAAAAACTAGAATGATTATATTCTGAGGAGAACTAAATGCAATTTTCCATTTATACAATTTCAGTGTTTCTTGACCATCTCTTGAAAGACCACTGAGAAGGAAAAACTAAGAAACCCTGACTATAGGCTAGCAGTGCAATGGCATATTTTTACTTATAGAACTTAGAATAACTAAATTCATGGTATTTGAGTAAATAGGAAACCTCTACTCAGTTGTTTGACAGGTACATTGTCCAATTTTTTCCAGGCAAACATTTTAACACATATATCACAGTTATATGTCAGTTACACATGGTTTAAGAATATGTATCTTGTTTAAAAAGTGCTATTTACAATGCAAACAGGATTCAGGGTTCAGATTTTTAAAAAAAAATTTTTAATGTTTATTTCATTACTTACGAGAGAGAGAGAGAGAGAGAGAGACAGAGTGTGAGCAGGGACGGGGCAGAGAGCGAGAGGGAGACACAGAATCTGAAACAGGTTCCAGGCTCTGAGCTGTCAGCACAGAGCCCAACTCAGGGCTCAAACTCACAAACTGTGAGATCATGACCTGAGCTGAAGTTGGACACTTAACTGACTGAGCCACCCAGGCTCCCCTAGAGCTCAGATTTTTTAATTCTTCCTTGTGTATGACAAATAAAGAAAAATCCAGTTCCATCCCAGGAAAGACCAAGGCCTATGGCATATCAGCTAGCATCAAATTCGAATTCTTAATCTGGTGAAAACTACTAAAGTGAAGAGAAAATGTGAAAATGTGGAGATGATATGATAAAAGGCAGTCCCAGAAGATTCTGGGAAGATGGCGGAGTAAGAAGAACTGGGAACCTGTCTCCCAACTTAGAAAATGATTGCACTGGCAGAATCCATCTGATGTAATTATTTTGGAATTCTGGCATCTATTGAAGGCTTATAACTTCCAGGGGAAGACTTGGATGGTAAATTGTGGTTAATTTTATTCAATATCAGCTTTTAGCACAGTAGCAGCTATTCTCTACTCCTGGGCTCTGAGGCAGGCAGCTATTCATGTGTTCCAGGAGTAGCCTGCACACAGCTTGTAGAGCCAGGGTGGACAATCAGGACAGTAACCTCCAAGTATCGGTATCTATGCACTGATCATTGATTATTACTTCTGATCACAGAGGTGCAAAGAAGTGGGTATCCTTTGCTGCACTTCTATTGTTGCAAGCCCCTGCCCTACCAGCTAAGTGATCTCCAGGGGATTTCATGGACTGCTATTCTCCCCAACGCCTTCATTTTTCTTTATTTCATCTTTTGGGAGCCATTAAAGACTTAAAGACTAAGATATGCTTTTTTTTTCTTAAGGCTAGAACATTCAAAAGCATCTGTATATGTGTAGGAAATTAGAAAGTCAACATACATGTCCCGGGAAAGGCACAGGCTCAGAAAAGACCTGAGAAGACCTTAAGTTTGTAACTCAGGGTGACCCTCAGCACAGAGATAGCCTATAATAATCAATACAAAAACAAAAACAATAAAAGCAAAAACAAAACCCCAGCAAACCTTGGGGAAGAGAATCTAATTTCTAGAATTACTGTAATTATTAGATTCAATGTCCAACTCTAAATAAAGAAATCACAAGCCTTACAAAGCAACAGAAAAGTTTATGGCCCATTCAAAGGAAAAATAAATAAATCAACCAAAACTACCCCTAAAAAAAGACCTCATGGCAGATCTACTAGGCAAAAACTTTACAAATAATTGTTTTAAAGATACTCAAAGAAGTAAAAGGAGAGAAAATGGTATATAAACAGAATGGAAATATCAATAAAGAGATAGAAAATCTAAAAAGACACCAAGAAGAAATGCTAGAGCTGAAAAGCACAATAGCCAAAATAAAATATTCACTAGTGGGATTCACTAGAGAGATCTATTTCTGAGTAGGTAGATAAAGGAATCAGTGAACGTGAAGACAGGACAATGGAAATTATCAAGTCTGAGGAATAGAAGAAAAAATAAAAGATTGAAGAAAAGTGAACAGAACCTAAGGGACTTGTGAGACACTATCAAATGTACCAACGCATGTACCATGGGAGTCACGGATGGAACAGAATAAAAGAAAGAGGTAGAGAGCATGTTTGAAGACACAATGGCTAAAAATTTCCCAAATTCAGTAACTGACCTGAATATAAACATCCAAGAAACTTAATGAACTTGAAGTACAAGGAACTCAGAGACCCAAACCGAGACACATAATCAAACTTTCAAAAGCAAAAGATACAGAGAATCTTGAAAGGAGCCAATGAGAAGCAACTTGTCACATATCAGGAATCCTCACTAAGACATCCAGCAGATTTCTTATCAGAAAGTTTAAAGTCCTGAAGGCAATGGGTTGAGATATTCAAAATGGTGAAAGAAAACAACAACAACAAAACTGTTAACCAAGAATCATATATTGTCAACTGTCCTTCAAATTCAGGGGAGAAATTCAGATAGTCCCAGATGAACACAGGTTGAGAGAGTTTGTTATCATTAGATCTGCCCTGAAAGAAATGCCTAAGGGAGTCCTGCAGGTTGAAATGAAAAGACTAGACAGCAGTTCGAAGCCATATGAAAAAACAAAGATCTCAGTAAAGAGAAATACATGGGAAAGTATAAAAGCTAATATTATTGTAACAACGGTTTGTAACTCTACTTTTTGTTTTCTATATGACTTGAGACTAACATATTTTAAAACTATTAATTTAAAAGCTAGTATTATTGTTACTTTGGCTTGTAATTCCACATTTAGTTCCCCACATAATTTAAGATAGTAATTCATTTAAAGGAGTTATTAGTTTAGGTTTATACAAAGGCAATTTTGTGATATCAACAACCAAAAGTGGTGGAAGTGGAACTGTAAAGGAGAAAGTTTTTGGATGCTTTTGAAGTTAAGATGGTATAAATTCAAACTAGAATGTTACAGCTTTAGGATATTAAGGGGGATTAAGGAGTTATTGTTTAATAGCTATGTACTTCAGTTTTGCAGAATGAAAAGAGTTCTGGATATGGATTAATGGTAACACAACTTTATGAATGTATTTAATACCACTGAATACCACTTAAAAATTAAGATGATAAATTTTATGTTATGTGTATTTTACTACAATAAAAAAAATTAGGGGGAAATTTTTAAAGGTAATGTGCCACTAAAGGACTGACTGTGGAAAAGGAGCAGTATTGCCAGGTGAGAAGCTTGATTTATACACTGTTTTTGCTTTTTTTTTTTTTTAATATACAAACAAACAACTTTTTTTTTTCTTTTAAACACCTGCCAACCACCTCCTTTTTACATTCTCTGGGACTCCAGCTGTTTCCTTTCTACAGCAGGACAGGGACTCACAAAGCAGAGTGATTTCTTTGCCATTTCACATAGATGTAGATGGAAGTCTCTTTCTTAAAAAAGCTATCTAAAGTCTGGGAAAAAATGTAGTCTTTAAATTGATACATAAAAGTGAAGAAAACTTTGAAAATCATTTTTCTTGGTTTTTAATTCAATGTCACAAAATTTTATAAGATGCCAGAACAATTCTTTAACTACTATCTCAGAAATTTCTAGAAGCATGAAGAGAAGGTTTAATATAAAATGCTAAAGATGCTCTTAGTAATTATATAATCACAACCAAAAAATATTACCAATACTACTGATTTATATGAGTTCAAGTTTATTAATATCAAGTATATTTGGCAGTACTTAGAATGTTGAAAAAAACTTTCAAAACATTAGGAGGAAATGGCCAAGATTATAAATATACTACTGTTTTAAAAACGTATATTAATATATCATGCTTACCACTGGACATTTATACAAATTTCAGTTATTGCTTAAGAAAACCTTCTGTTCAGATATCCTTTAACTTACAACTGAGGATCTGGAAAGCTTTCTAGTTATTAGAAGACTACTAACAAATTTATTACATATTAAAAATAAACTTGAACTTAGATTTGTAACTGTGAGTTCACAATTGAATGTTTGACCAGGTATCCATGTATTTGTCTTTTTTTTTATTTGAGAGACACAGAAAGTGAGGGAGAGAGGCAGAGAGAGAGAGAGAGAGAGAATCTTAAGCATGCTCCACACTCAGCACAGAGCCTGACACAGGGCTCGATCCCACAACCTGGGATCATGACCTGAGCT